AATAAAGTGTTATGTATTCTTTCAGATTAAACATATGAAAGCTGAAGAATTGGTCGACTGAGATATTGTAGTACTAGGTCCCTTAACACGAAGACGTTCTATTTGTACGAAAAAATGGAAAAATAATATTTATTTACAATTCCTTTAGAATCTGAAAATCTTGGAATATTACATATGAAAATAAATATCCAGTTCTTAGATAATTACGCTCGATGATAAATGCCGCCATGGAATATATTATGAAACAAAAATACATTAATCGTTCATAAATGTTTTTTGTTTAATGTTATCCGTTGAAATATAACCCGAGCTACTTTTCAATTTAATTTCCTTTGCCAGGTAATTATTTTTGTTGGTGTTCATTGTTTCAAATTGGAAAACATAAATCACTAGACTTGTTTCATTGCATTGCACATCTAAAACAATGACATTGTGTGCTTAATTCACAATTTTTTGTTATTTCATAATCTGTCACACATTCGCAAGTTATTAAAACTGCGTTAATCAGTATTAACACAATGATGTCTGTCAAATAATTTTATTAATAAACGTTCCGCCCAAAACTGCATCGATAAAGTAAAATTAATACTTGATGAGAAAACTGAAATAATATATTAAAAAGATACAATTGTCACAGTCTGATTTCATTAATGATCATTTGGAGCGGTTGTAATATGGTTTGGAGGCATTCTTTCACAGTGGCTACATACTCTGACTTTTCACATCAAAACAGTTGCGGCTGTTGTCTAAAATTTACCATACACCGCCGTTTCTCTCATCTTTCCGTAGGAATAAAACAGTTGAAAACCCTTAATTCTGCACAAAGATTTTTTTTCAAAAATATGAATACACTATGCGTGTTACTGTCTTCACGATTTGTTCATCAGGCTGAGATAATGATTGCAATTTATTTTTTCTGCTGGAAAATGGGCGATTGGGTTAACATCCTAAACAAAATCTTTTGCTTGAAATATTTACAACAACGTTATGCTAACTTTGGAAAAAGAGCTATTATTATTACTTCTATTAAATGCTTGTCCGTTAACTGTATAAATTTGCAATCCTATCTGTGTTCTTTTCTCTTGTCCCCAGATAAGGCTGAATGTGTCGATACATCCTAATATATGTGAATGATTGTTATATTCAATTTATAAAAGTTTACTTGATTGAAAGCAAATGTTACAGCTGCTTTTACCTTGTTATAGGGAATGACTACGTCCCACCATTATTCAGGTAGCAATTAATAAAATATAAAGATCTATCTTTGTATATATGCGTGTTGGTTTGGGGGCACCTCGAGGCTGTGTAATGGTTAGCAAGCTTGGTTCGCTAGAACAATTACTACTAGCTAGAGCAGTTCGATCCTCATTTACCCCTAATTTCGGCCTTGTGCCACATCTAAGCTACGCTTGGAAAATCATTATATGCGTGTTGGTTTTGCAAACGGGTAAATGGTTAATATAACAGGCAATTGGAGAGATAACTAAAATATAAAACTTAATAAGAACTACAAAATATAGGGGTTTGTGGAGAGCGATGATGAGCCAAGCAATGAAGGGAGACACGGTAGATAGAAGATGGAGAAAAAGGAAGAAAATGAAACTATAGAATGTTGTATTGCACGATAAAAAAGAAAATGACAAAAATTATAAAGACTAAGCAGAAAAGACAAATGCCGCCAAAGGAGTTATGAAGACAGGGAGCTAAACAGCAAATGAAGGCATGACAAAACGCAAGGAAAAACTGAATACATTTGGAAAGAACAGGGAAATATTGAAAAGCAAGAAACGAAATTGTAAGCCAGTATAAGAATAGCGAACACAAAACACCTACGCAGAGAAAATATATAAAACTGTGCTAATAGAAATAATAAAAATATATATATGAAAGCAGTGTTAAACGAAAATGAATATTTAATCCAACAAGAATATAAAGAGACGGGTATTAGATTAAATCTTGAAAGTCTGGAATAAAAACGAAAAAGAGGGGAATGTCTGATAAAAGGATAATTGTAAGATTCACTCAAAGGGGGAGAGTTAAAAAATGTCAACGCCTGAAGAAGAAAAGTATATGGCTTGTATTAAGTGACAGGTAAATGCAGTTATAGATTATACTGTCTCAGTACTCGGATGCATCAGATTATGTTTAGTCTCAGATATTAGGAATTTTAAGAATAAATACGTGTCCGTTAAGTTTTAACGAAAAATCTTATATTTTTCTTCGTTTATAATAAACAAATTTAGGAATAATAAAAGATATATTGTATTAACATCAGCTTTTGATGGATACAATTTTGTAAAACCACTACCTGCTGATTTGTTAAATTAAGGAAATGTTTAACACAAAAACACACACACACATCTATTTATCTATCTCTCTCCCTCCCTCTCTCTCTATATATACACACACACACACACACACACGTGTATATATATATATATATATATATATGCATGTATGTATATATATATATATATATATGTGCATACGTGTATATATATATATATATATATATATATATATATATATGTGTATATATATACTTGTGTATATATATATATATATATATATACGTATATATATATATATATATATATATATATATATATATATATATATATATATATATATATATATATATATATATATATATATATATATATATATATATATATATATATATATATATATATATATATATATATATATATATATATATATATATATGTGTGTGTGTGTGTATTTGTAGGCTATATATATGAGTGTGAGTCTGTGTGCATATATGCATGTATGTTTCTGTGTGATTAAAATAAAAGATAATACTTATAAATTTTAAATGTTTCTACAGTTTCATAAAACTTTACTTGCTAAACTTGGTAGATTTATATTGATAATATATAAAGGAGTTATTTAATTTTAATTCTGATTTATTATTATGAATGTCTCTCTTCTCTGTCCCATAATTGCATGTATCCGCAATTACACTTCCAGTCATATTGTTTGTCATAGAAATATTTTATTCTTGTTTATATATCTTTAATTGCTGTCTACTACCGTTTTCCGAGCTCATCACTTAACTAGGGCGGCTATTCAATCGTTTGTGCAGACAAATTCTTTTAGAGCATTTGTCTTAGTGCCAATCATTTGTGCATTATACAGTGGAACTTATTTAATCTTTCCGAGAGCAGGCACATAGTCTGTCATACTCAACATTTGTGGAGAGAAAATATAATGTAAGCATTAATAATCTTAAACCAGATCTGAATACTACCAATTTTGAGCACGGTTACAACGTGCTGACCGTGTTCACAAATTAAAAACATACCCATCCCTATATATACAAACAAAATCTACATATTCATTTAAAAAATAACCTTGTTAATGACTAATAAGTTAACTAAAAGCGTTCGAATCTATAAAAGATTTGGATAATTTATTACTTATTTTATGTTCTCAGAAAATATATCACTTTTATACAAGACAAATTAATAAAATATTAATCGCAATTCCTTGTCTCTGGCCTTCCATGGAAATTGCATCAACGAAGGAAGGATTACCCAATTATATATATATATATATATATATATATATATATATATATATATATATATATATATATATATATATATATATATATATATATATATATTATATATGTATATATATATATATATATATTTATATATATATATATATATTTATATTTATATGTATGTTTTTATATGTATGTATATTATATTTATATATATATATGTATATTTATATATGTATATATATATAACAAATTGAAAAGAATGTTGTGAATACTCAAAACTCTATTCTATCAAATTATGAGAAACGGTGGATATTAGATGATAAATATTGTTAATTCAATACTTGTTTTAATTCTATATTTAAAACAATGTTAATTTTAATGCTTTTGTTACCTTGTAGTATCTATGAAACATTGAATGTTGAAAGCCCTAGTAGAAAATTAAAAATATTTTTGTGTTAGTTAAGATATAATTCACACACACACACACACACACATATATATAAACATACACACACATATGTGAAACAAGAGACCAGTTCGTAATCAATTTTCGTGAGAAAAATCGTGACTGCTTGTAGGCAAAAGAATCGTCTCATTTCAATAACAAGATTATCGAAGAAATTTTACATATATTTTAAAGATTTGTGTATCATCTTTTTACTACTGTCTGGCTAGATCATTTATCTCTCTACGAAATATGATAATTATACAGTGCAAATGATGGTAAGAAAATGGTACTGGTTGGGTCAACATTAGTTTCATATTTTAACCATTAAATTATCCAGTATTAAATCTATTATTCGAAACAAGAAACATTTACAAGTACGCATTATTGCCAAGAATTGATTCGCGTAGCCAATAAATCGAAATTCGTCTACCTGATTAATTGTTAGAGAATCTATTGATATGATGCTTAATTACTGATTATCAACACGCTAAATTTTGTCGCTTGGAAAAAACTGGGTGTGTGTCTTTCGAGTAAGCTAACTTTATGAAATTTATGCCCCGTAAATTGCCAATGTTTGATTTAATTGATTTTTTCAAGAATTCACAATTCAATGTGTTTTTCAACGGAAAAAAAGTGAAAAAAATCATTGCATATTTTACGTCTTGTAATACAGGATTTTAAACAAAATATCGAATGTGTTAGGTTGATTTTTTTTTTTAAATAATTAAAAAATTACTTTGCTCTTTTCTCGCAATAATAACATAAATATGTTGATGATAAAACTTTGATTTTATTAAGTGTGTAGCCTTTTTTCATCATGCTATGCTGGTTTTTTTCAGCGAGCAATTGCGGTAGATAATTTTAGTCGTAATCCTTACATTTCCTCCATTTTGTCAGCATTCAAGTTATTCTCATATATGACGTAACTTGCCTAACGCAGAACACGGGCCATCACATTATTTAGCTCTTTACAATGCATAATCTTTTCGCTTCAGCTACTTCAGAGAAGATCGTAGGTTACGGCCATATCACGCTGAAACACCGGCTCCCGAACGATCACTAAAGTTAAGCAACATCGAGCCTGGTTATTACCTAGATGTGTGAACACTTGGGAATACCTGGTGCTTTAAGCTTGCTTATGTGAGTAGTTCAATTAATAACGGCTCGGAATTCTTAATCCGTGCGCCGAATTCCTGGTTTGGTTTGTTTTCTTTTACGGCATATCAACCCGAATGGGTTATTTTGTGCCAACAAGATTTTTCATGCTGTCAATATTGTTTTTTTTTTATTTTTTATTTTTTCAAAAATGTATTCCTGGTAATAATTTTATTTTCCAAACTATATTGCCGTTATTGAAATGTATTTGTACATTTTCATAGTGTATTGACCACAGTTTTAACTATTTGCCCGTAGCTGGGAACACTAGCAATTAAAAGGTAGGTCTACACTCCTCAAAACTTCATGATAAGGGGCTTACTGTTGGATGTAATTAATCGCTATACACACGACGGGGATGTAGCTTATTGTCCTACACATGACGCCAGAATTTCAGCAACATTTGGGGTTGTTATATTCATTACGTGCAAATACCCATGAGAGATATATGAATCCACCTGTTCTACACCAATCTATAGATTTATTAGTAATTATCAATAAATCATTATTATATCAAAAATATTTTGTGGTTTCTAATTAATTGCAAATCGTTGATAAGACGGAGAAAACGAAACATAACAAAGAAAGTCGAAGAATATATATTTTTCTTCAGCACTCCACGCCATAAATGGCAGTAAAGCCACTAAAACAGAAGGAACAGAAACATTAATAATGTGTAGGAAGACAAAAGACTAAACAGGAGGGCAGTGGATAGCGATTTCCATTACATTTAAATTTTGGCAGATTAAAGTTGGCTGGAAAGCATGGAGCCGGAAGTGAGTTCCACAAGTGAAAAGTGCGAGAACATAAACTGTTAGCATTGAAATTACAACTCCATCTATCCAGCCCAACTACCAATTCATCAAGACCACTCCTACAAAAATAAATGATATAATTAACATTAAATGTGATAGCAACAACAGCAGAACTGATGTAGGAATATACATAATAGCTTGTACAAAAAGTCCATTAAAAGAAAGTGACGAAACCTTCAAAAACCTCAAAAAAAATTATTTGAACACCACATAATCCGCATCTTCAGCATAACAAAAATCTAAATACACTTTATATATCTGGGGCAGTTTTGATTCAAATGGTGCCAGTAATAGAGTAAAAATAAGACCAGGGACAGATATTATTTCACGGGTAGTCGCAAAAAATATCATAATGCCGTTCACTAGTTAGTGGAGATAAGGACAGAGACCTAATTCATATCGGCTGATTAAAAAGTCCAGACACTCCAAATAGCTATAATAAAATATATATATATATATATATATATATATATATATATATATATATATATATATATATAGCTCTACATTGTAATGTGCACTTTATTAATATGTAAATGCTAAGAACTGACAGTTCTTTCTCCTGTTCTTTCTCTTTAAGTAAAATACACACACAAATATATTATTATTATCATTATTATTAACCGGAATCACCCCAAGCAAGGCAGTAATGCCACTAAAACACATGGGGTTATAGGGTGTACGGAAACATTAATAAAGAGTAGAAAGAGTAATCAGAAGGACAGTAGATAGCAACTGACATTGCATTGTTGGTTGGAAAGCATGAAGACAGAAGGGAGTTCCACAGGCAAGAAGAGGGAGAAAAGTTACAATTAGATCAAGAAATATATCTTATTTGGTGTGTAAATGAAAGGCAAACTATATTACTTATCTGCTAATATTTGGGATTGTCACTCTCACTTCTTTATCTTTTTTGATCTTCCAGATTTTGCGTGTCGAACAGCGTTTGATATTAAAGATTTAGCATTTTTTATTCAGTGTATATTGAGTGGATCCAAAATATTAATAGCCTTTATTTTCAAGGTTCTCATACCTGTCAAACAATTTTTGGAACGAAGTATGAACTATATATTTCTTGGATGATTGTGATCGCTACGTTTAGATTTGAAATGGGTCGATATGAAATTAACTCTAATCCATCAGCTATGGGTTAATTGACAAACGGCATTATCTTGTCTTAAGTTGGTAACCAGTCTAAGAGAAGGAAAAATCTGATGTCTTGACCAGTCTGAAGAGGGATATGTATAGTCAAGCTCTCATTCCTTAGAGATACCACTACGGCTACAGCTGCAGTATATGTGACGCCCTTTCCATCCTGACAGCTTACCGGACACATGACCTGACGTAGCCCTTGTACTGTAAGGCAACCAAACTTCATTCAAATTTGATATTAGATCTAAAAGATAAGTTTTTAATATCCATGTTTCGTTTCAGCAATCAAGAATGTTACTAAGTGAAATCGAACGTTAACGGTATTTGATAGTACTAAATATTTCCAAAGATGGTTATTCCAATTATGTCTGTCATAGATTTGCAAATTAGGGTCATTAATAAAAGAAAATCCTGCAACACAACCCGGGAATTTGCAGAATGAAAAAAACATATGCAGATATTGAGGGATTTTTTTTTATATATAATAATACAACCTGCCTAGTGATTGTCAGTTTTAAGAGCGTTCAATTGATAATTTCAGAATATACTCTCTCTATATATATATTTCCTGTATGAGCAGATTTCATGCCTAGTGTTATCGCTGAAGTTTTGGGCCAGAATTTGAAATCCACAGAATAAATTTTACTGTGCATAGTGCAACCCGTCATAAAAATGCATACATTTTAAACTCTTTAAAAAAAAATGTGTGTATAGTTCAAGCCCTTTGATCTTGTAAAAAAACAAAACAAAAAAAAAACTGATAACTAAATCTCTCTAGATATTCAGGCATATACAGTATTATTCAGTAGAGAGATGATGTAGTTGACTGTCTACATGTATCACAATCATCTTAAGATCAAAATAAGAGAAAAAATTTAAAACGGAAAATTGCTTCTTAACGTGGAAGTTCATAACGACGCAATATAAAATATAATTTGCCTCGTGTCACATACAAAAAAAAAAAACTTCATTTTACATCCATGTCTCTCTCTCTCTCTCTCTCTCTCTCTCTATATATATATATATATATATATATATATTGTTGTGTTCTTAAAGAAGATTAGAAAAAAGACAAAGGTGGTACTCGAGTAAAAAGAACAGCAACACTAGCGTAGATGAAAAGAAGAGAGGTTTATTGTATAAGGGAATACACTGTAGAAAGACGGAATCGGTTAGCAGGCTAGAAATTGCCGAAGCAAGGATATTTACTTTGCCTCCCCGTGAGGCAGGATGTGACTCAAAGCCATTTTTAATGTGATACAAAACCGAGCCTTTAAGCTCCGGCAAAATTCCGCGTATACACGGGGTTAGGTAGCTGCCTAAGACTCCAGACAAGAGTCTGTCCTTCATCATCGCCTCGTCCCGTGTTCCTCTCCGTCCGAAGGAAGAGTGTTCGGCCGGCACAGCTGGAGACGAATCTCCAACTAATTGCCGAAGCAAGGATATTGCCAACCACCCCACGCGGTCAGACGTGTCACAAGGTTGAATTTCACTTGGGGTATCCTTGCCTGGAGGCCCCATAAAAATCGTAGTTGGGTAGCTAACTACACATCAGACGAGATTCTTCCCTCCGGCATAGCCTCGTCTGGGATCCTCTCCGCATAAAGGCAGAGTATCAGATCAGCCCAGCTGGCGACGTATCTCCAAGTAATTGCCGAACCACGCATATTTGTCAACCGCCACACGCGGTCAGATGTGGCACAAAGCCGAATATAACGTAGGGTATCCAAGCCCGTAGGCTCGGGCAAAAATTCCCCGTAGACCCCGTATTCACTAGGTCGGGAACCTGTCTACCACACCAGAGGAAACTCAGCCCTTCGTCATAGCCTCGTCTGGATTCCTCTCTATCCGAAGGCAGAGAGTTCGACCAGCACGGCTGGAGACGTATCTCCAACTAATTGCCGAAGCAAGTCCGCCAGGTATATTCTTTGCATACTATATATAACTACTGCTATAGTCATTCACATAGGCAACATCGTGTGTGGTACATTCTATTACAATATATATATATATATATATATATATATAATTCAGAGGGTGTACCTGTGTGCGCGGGCGCATGTATAAATGTAGACGTGATTTTGAATTCTAAAATAAAAGCAAATATTTATAAGTTGTCACTTGAGATTAAAATGCAATCAAGTATTTTCATGCATGCCATACATTCTTATAGAAAACTGAAGAAGGTGACAGCAAATCAAGTATGGCTATTGTCTTTTATTATAGACGAGATTCCTATTGTATACATAAAACTTAATTCTGTCTCGTTCTTTCTTATGTCCCAGCTAGGTATTTATATCCGGATGTAAATTTTGCAAACCGAATTTAAAGATAACACAAGAATGCAGCGGTAAAGACACTGATCCGAATAAATCCTCAAAAATGTCCAAGCAAATGACAAAAGTTGTTTCGCAAAATCTATTTTAAATAACATCAGGCCTAGCATTTCAGCGCTGTGCAGATTCCAAAATAGAAATTTAAGTATGAAGGAAGATGTCATCTTAATCACACACAGATACATAATATACAATACTATAATATATATATATATATATATATATATATATATATATATATATATATATATATATATATATATATATATATATATATTTCTCTTAAGTACATGGAAAATGGGTGATTTAAATGCATTTATCCCATTAATCCATTATGTAACTCCAGACTTATATGTATATTTGAATTTTTCAGTGTTTTACACATATACTTATATCATTGGGTATATATATATATATATATATATATATATATATATAATCATATTATTGTATGCGTATATATACTTATATATATCTCTTTCTTTGTGTATATATATATATATATATATATATATATATATATATATATATATATATATATATATATATATATACTGAACATACATAAAAAATCATATATATAATTATGTGTATACGTTATTTTATGTACCAATTTATTTAACTGCTAAATATATATATATATATATGCACACACACTATTAGTGATT